TGAAACAGAACTGGGAGTATCAGGCAGAACACAGAGCTCAGGGGCTTTCTGGCCTAGTTCCATAGGACTCCAAAGAAAGAGACCTCACTCTTATCGTACATTTCTGTCATGATGATCCTCACCAGAAGGAGAACCATTTAGACACTAAAGGAAGAGATAGGAGTTGGTGATGTGCCATTATAGGTAAAGCCACTCTGTATGACATCAGTGCCCCATATAGGTACCTGTTTGAAACCTGGCTGCTCCACTTCTGACTAAGCTCCCTGCTCATATGCCTGGGAAAGCAACAGAGGATGGCCCAGGTGCTTGGGCCCTTGAACACACATGGGAAATCTGGAGGAAGCCATCTTCCACTCTGTCCCTGGCTCCTGATTTCAGACTGAGCCAGCTCTGGCCATTGCAACTACTTGGGGAATGAACCAGTGAGTGGAAGATCTCTCTCTCTCTCTCTCTCTCTCTCTCTCTCTCTCCCTCCCTCTTTTTGACTCTGCCTCAAAAAATATATAATAGGATTCATTTAATAATCAGCCTCCTCAAACTGTAGTATCACTTTTTATGGAGGTAACTAAGACTGCCTCTGTGGCTGACATTGTAAAACAGTGGGTAACATTAACATGACACATGATAATCTTTGACTCAAATCCTGGCTGTTTTATTTCCCATCCAAGGCTATGCTTATATGCCTGGGAAAGCAGCAGAGGGTGGCCTAAGCATCTAGATCACTGTCACCTATATCTGAAACCTAGATGGAGTTTCAGGGTCTTGACTTCGGTCTGGCCTAGCTCTGGCCATTGTGTCCATTTGAGGAGTGGATGTAAGAGTCTCTTGGGCCTAATGCAGTATCCTAGTAGCTAAAGTCCTTACTTTGCATGTGCTATGGCCTGGGAAAGCAGCTGAGGATGGCCCAAAGCCTTGGGACCCTGCACCTGTGTGGGAGACCTGGAAGAAGCTCCTGGCTTCAGATCAGCTCAGCTTCAGGCATTGTGGCTACTTGAGTAGTGAACCAGTGAACAGAAGATCTTCCTCTCTGACTCTTCTCTCTGTATATCTGACTTTCCAATAAACAAACAAATAAATAAGTATTCTCTTCCTCCCTCTCTATCCATCCTCCTTTCACCTAAACAAGGGATATTCCCACTAAGAACAATCATGGCTCACTCTGTCTTAGTCATCCAAATATACAGATTTAGCATGAAACAGGATCTCCTCATCCATATTCTACAAAACACTAATCGCACAAGATGGCCTAAGAAAAGTTCTCCATGATGTCTTGTACATTTGGGAAGAACAGTCTCTGTTTATTATCTAGGAGGACACATCATGCCTTAAGCACATGAAAGGCTCTAAAACGTCCTGCAGTGGTGCTGGCACTGTGGACCAGTGAGTAAAGCTGCCACCAGAAATGTTGGCATTACGTAAGGGCATCATTTCATGACCTGGCCACTCCAGTTCTAATGCAGCTCCCTACTAGTGGCCTGAGAAAATCAGCGAAACATGGACTAAGCACTTGGGCCCCTACTAGCCAGGTGGGAGACCTGGAAGAAGTTCGTGGTGCCTGGCCTGGACATAGCCCAACTCTCACCACTGTGGCCATATGGGAGACAAAACAGTGGGTAGAAGATCTTTATTTCCCTCTCTGTATCTCTTACAAATAAATAATGTTGTTAGCATATGGCAAATCCAAACACTGCCTGTTGAGTGCTGCACTGTCCAATCTGAGTAAAGGTGTTTGTTTCTGTCCCCAAATGTGCACTGTTTCTATCTGTGCTTTCCCTTCATACAGTCTTCCATATTCCCATAATGCCACATAGCTCCTTCTGTATCTTACTTAGGTATCCACTCACTCATTTGGCCAATATTTATTAGTTGTTTCTTTATCAAAGTCCTGTTTCAAATTCCATTGATGCCACACTGAACTAAAACAGGCATTCCCTCTGATGCACTCAATACACATGGACGTAGATGAAAAAGATAAGTTAGCAAGATCATTTCAAATGGTGGACAATCTAGGGAGAGAGTAAAACAATGTGAGGTTATAGTATTACAGTGACAGGAAAAGGAGATCTAGTGGAAGGCTCATGTCTGGTCTCTTAGGGAGGAGGACAAGTGAGATAAGACCTGCAAGACTAGAAGGAGCCAGTCACGCAAAGACAAAGTGTAGATTGTTGGCCTGGTAGTAGAGAAAAGAGCAACCAGTGCACAGACTCCAAGACCAACATGTCTGGAGCAGAATGAATGACAGGGAGAGAGCAGGAGACGAGGTCAGAAAGGGAGGCAGGGCCAGGGTAAAGAGTAAGGATTTCATGGAAGAAATAATAAATTAATCTGTCTTTTTGAGGTTCCAACAACTACAGCACACATGTACTTAGCACCACATCAGCAATTCTCAACCAAGTCCTATGTTCTGTTTGCTGATAATCACATCAGGGATAATAAGGTACCTATAACAAAGCACAGCAAAAACGATAACAGCACCACCAAAAGATATCCTTTTGGCTTAACAGAAATGTTACAAAATCAGTTAAGAAGTTAAGAGTTTCATATATGTGAACAGCTTTAATTAATAAATTAATCCTGCCCTTTGGGATCTGGCAGGGATAACAGTACATGAATCCTACAATAACAGTTGTACAGACAAAGAAGCATTTGCTCACAGTGACTGATAGCCTGGAAAGTAAGAGAACTGAAAATGTAAACATGGTCTCAAGTGTCATTCTAATATTTTACAGCTCTTGTCAATCTTGCTCTCCAAAACTGTGTATAAAAGTGAGATTCCAATTATAAGAATAAATGCCAAGCACACAAAATTAGTGGTTTCTTCCCTCACCACTGTGCTACATGATTAAGTAGTGTTACAAAGATGGAAAATACAAGCATCACTTTCTAACCAGACAGAAGCCTTTGGTATTTTCCAGGCACCTTTATCTTTTGAATAAAGACCTGCCTAGGGAATCCTACTCCTAGAATGTTCCTGGAAACACATCTTTCCAGGAAAAACAGCAGTAATGGAACGTTGGCAGATACTGCTCCTAAGAGTGTCCAGTTTCTTTGAAATTCCAAAAAATTCCGAAAAAAAAAAGTCTTTGAAATTTTGAAAGTGTATCTTCTCCTGACAATAATATTCAGTGAAGGGACTGAAAGCGGATGAAGCTCAACCCTCAACAGCGAGGGCCATCCCGTCATTAAGGTCTGGATGGCTCCAAGCTCTCCTCTGAGAAAAGGCACTGAAAGCACACAAGCACCAACAGTGGTACAGGCGCCCAGGTTTACGGTACATTAAGACAACAATCTGTCGGGGAGTGACGCCTCCTTCCCCTCGAGGAGCAGAAATGTAGACTGCCTTCCTCTGAGATCCTCCACACTCAGCTTTGATTACTCTCTTGTCTTTAATCTTTTGGAGATTTGTGTTGAGGCTACTTTGAAATAAAATTATTATCTCCTTATATCACACATGGATGATTGTCCTATCTCCACTAACAGACCATAAAATCCTCGAAGACAGAGTCATCTCGCTTGTTCCTCACTCTCATAGCAAATAAAAGTTTCAAACAGTACCCAAGGGAGGGAGTGAAATAAAAAATAACTGCCTTGCAGCTTTGCTTCCCAAAGATAACCACTGCTAAAATTCTTGTATGTCCCTTCATAAAAGTTTGTGGGTCTATATAAACGTTTTGTGATTTTCTATGTTTAATCCACTGAACAGAATTTAAGAAAAATGTAGATTGGTGAAGAGAATTTTAAATCAATCCTGTTTCAAGGCATAAAATAATTATGAATGATCACAAAATAGAGATAATGGCAGGGACAGAGGGTGGCTGGACATTTCAAGGTAGACAGAACCTGAAGTAACAAGAAGTAACAAGAACAGATGTTAAGGCCAGAGACTGAACTTTGAGTGCCCTAGGCCATGCAACAAGAAGAAAGTTAGAAAAGCAACCTATGTAATTCCCAAGAGAGCAGGCTTGTAAATTAAATTCGGGCAGTTGCCTGAGTTAAAATTCACAGGAAAACCTACATGTCTTATTTCACCACATAGCAAAGATGTGCCATGCAGTACACACCCTCCACTAGTAGAACCAACTTGCATTCACTCATTTCCCAGGGATGCAAGTGGTCTTGCTATGAGCATCAAAGGGCTCATGAATATTTCCCATTGTTGTGGGTCACAGCTGGGTTCAATTACAGTCAGTAGCTAAAGGAGCACAACTTCTGCCACTAGTTAACATATTGATTTACACCAGCCACCTCATGTGACTATCAGCTGTTTACAAGGCTAGAGTCCATTTGCTGATCATCCTGCTGGTCAACATACATTAGCGCAGAACTGTAGCAAGAACAAAAATATCTAGGACAGTGGGCAAATGATAGGAGAGGGCAGCGAAATGGTGCTGAATGGAGAGGACACAATTAATGCTCAACATCTACTTAGCAATTGGATTTCAAGCCAGCGGTAAAGGCTCAAAATCCTTGTTCTACAGAGCATAGCTGAGAGAAGGGAAGCGGCATTCACAGGTGCTTTTGCCAGACCTTCTGGCCATTTGTCTGAGGCAGGTAAGGAGACTGGAAGAAACAAACTCTGGGGTTATAGAACCTTGAGTAGTGCCACTCTTATCTAATTGCAGAATCAATTTTGAACTTCTATTTGTTTGTTTATTAAAAAGAAACCAGACAAGGCAATACACACATGATGCTTAGTATTATTATTGTCATTTGAAACTGTTGGTCCCCATGGGCTCGTTTCTGAAGAACAAGTAGCTGAGAAATCAGACTCTAGTAAAGAACACTTCCTGTAGCAGTGCACTTTCTCAGCTATCTCCTCCCAAACAAAGCTGTATACACAGGAGAGAAAACTGAAACAGTTATCTAACCCACCCCGCCTCTTCCTCTCACGGACCCTCTATATCTTAATCACACTTGAGGCCCATATGGGTCTGTAACCCTTTTTGTTTTGTAGTAAATATTAAAATAATCACAATTTTAAAAAAAGAACTATTCCTTACCTGAAAGGAATTCATATGGCGAAGAGAAGGTGGGAGCGTAGCGTTACTCCTTGAGAGTATCAACAGCAGTTCTAAACAAGTGGCACAGGGCAGGGTCAGTGAGTGGACACTGATGTCACTTTCCCATGAGCTGGCAAGCCTGAAACATACCAATATTTGGTACCTTTCATAAACATATCATCATAGATCTTTAAAAAATCTGATATAGATGAAAAGTTACAGTTATTGGAGACAAAATCAATACAAAAAAGAAATTATCATAAAAAATGCACCCAATGAATGTTCAAAACATTTTTATGGTTCCAGTAGTAAAATACAAATGGATTGTGCAATTTCGCAGACTTTCATTTCACTCTCATGATGTAAGAGCAATGGAAAATGAAATCAAATTTGTGCACGACCTGCTAGGAGGATAAGGACAGAACCAATAGCTCCTCAAATGCTTCCCACATTCTATTCCTGCTCTATTTGGTGTATAACTACTATCGTCCCCTTCCATAGGTGTCAAATCTATTTTAGACACCTCTTACAGAATTTCCAGTTTAGTGCCGTCTCAATGTTTTTCTAAATAACCAAATCCCCTGTTAGAAAATTGTGTAGCCATCCCAAGTTATAATATACAGAGAAACAAAGCTGTTTTTGTTTTAAGGAGAAAAGTTGGCAGGACCTGCCTTCACCCTCCAGAGCAGCCCACGAAGCACCTCTGCTACACCCTGTGGAACCTATCTGAAAACCCTTTCATTTGAGATGTCAGGAAACGGAGGACTATGGAAGTCAGGGAACTTATCCAAAAGGAGTCTGAAGTGTAAGATAAGGCTGGATCTAGCATTCTGGTTTTCTGAATCCTTATCTTGCGCTTAGGGTAGAGAGAAAAATCCAGAAAGTGATGGGAAAACACCTAAACAGAGCAGCATAAGTCTTGTTTTGAGCCTTACTATCTACTTGCATATTTCAATTCCTGTCCCATACCAAATTGTATCCCATCACCGTCCGATTTTTTTTAAGATATAAACATACATATGTACATGCATATGTCATATGTATGAGATATATTAAAAGTGTATGTTTATGTTATGTAAGTTGCTGTTTCTACAAACTTGTCTCTGCAAAGCCATCTTTAGCCAAATCAGTAGCAGAAACCAGAAGCTTGAGGAGTGAGCACCACTGGTTGAGGGCATGGCAGATTTAACACTTCGTGTGATTAGTCATGGCAAAAAGTTTAGCTGTATCATCATCAGATTCAAATAAAGTATACTGATACACTTCTGCTGTGAGTGGCAGAGATAACCCTTCTTGAATTAGTTGTCAACTAGCTGGCCTGAAAGAAAACATTGCTTGCTTCCCTAAAAGTAGTCTGGTTTCAGCAAGACATATTTGAGTGCTTTTTCTATGTTCTAAGAATTAATATTTAAGTTGACTATCTCAGTTCTTCTTACTACTTTTGTTCATTGTGAAACACTCTTAATATTTCTCTGGAATACAAGTGAAAATGCTGTTGGCTTTTCAAAACGTTGAACTTTGAAGCTCCAAGCTCACTCTTCACCTCTCTTTCTTTACCTCCCTTTCCTTCTGCCTTCCCAATACACAGTTAATTCCCCTCCTCAGAACAGCATTTCATTGCACACTCTGGATCTGGCAAATATCATTTTCTAAATCTGAACAGCTATTTTATTTCCTACCGAATCGTACTCATTTTGGAAACCTAATTCACAACTCTGGAATATACCACCTTGTTTCTTTAAGTATTAGTTATTTGTCCAATTTATCTTTTATAATGCTCTTACCCAATTAGTATTCTTAGCTAGGTTTGGCTCCATCTTTAATTCTTCCTAGATCAGATATGAGTGGATTCTGCAATTTTGCGGCCTTGTTTGAAAACATAAGAAAGTTGCCTCATTGTGCCTTTATTCAGGTATTACCAACATAAGGGCTAAAAGAAATGGTTAGGGAAGGAGGGAGGCTGGATAAACACAGGCTGGGAAACAGAGTAAGTTCTAGTGTTCCACAGCACAGCAGAGTGACCACAGTTCATAATAAACTCCCATACAGTCTTGATATAAATTAAAAACATGAGCTCAAAAGCTACAAATGAAATGGTGAGGAAAAATGTTAATTACTCTGACTTGATCAGCACATACAGTGTATGTTTATTAAGCTATTGCACCATATGCCATAAGTAAACAATTATTGTTAATCTGGAAACTTTCAAGGAATGCTTAAGAAAATAGAAATGCCAGCTCATCATATTTGATCCTCATATATTGAACACATGGACCAAACTATATCACACTGTGTCTCATAAATATATACAATTAAAAAAATAAAAGATGAGCTAAAATAAAAATTATGATATAAATAAAAAGGCATGCCTTTTGTCACTTACATTTGGGTGCTCAAGAAACAATTTAAGGTTTCAGAATTTATATCCTTGACCCTCACCACCCACAACAGAGCTCACTAAAGCTATTTTTATCCTGAATTGTTTTTAAAGAGTGGTGAAAAGGTTTTTGCTTTTTATGAACTGGATCCCCTCTAGCATAGGCAACTCAACACCACTTGGACTGGAAGTATCTCTTGAGAGTTCATCCATGAATCTCCCTCCCTTTCTCGCTCTTAAAGATTTATTTATTTGAAAGGCAGAATTAGAGCAGGTGAAACAGAGAAAGATCCCTTATCCTTTGGCTCATTTCCCAAATGCATACAATAGTCAGGGCTGTGCCATGCTGAAGCAAGGAGTCAGGGATTTCATTCAGGTCTTCTATAGGGTGGTAAACACCCAAGCATCTGGGTCATCACTCACTGTCTACCGGACACATTAGCACAAAGCTGGTTAGGAAGCAGAGCAACAGAGACTTGGCATCTGGATATGAGATACAGGCATGCTAAGCTTTGGTCTAAGCTATTGTGTCACAGTGACTATCACCATCTGTTTCCTCTGATCTTCATCAGTCTTGTGGATAACACACCCACTCAATCAGGCACCTTGGTTATATTTGTGTCTAATCCTATAGCATCCCTGAACGGCAGGCATAGTTAATATTTTTAAAAAACTTAAAAAAATTTTTTTAATTTATTTGAGAGGGGGGATAGAAAGGAGGAAGTGAGGAGGGTGTGGGGCACTGTTTCATTCCCCAAAGGCCTACAATTGATAAAGCTGAACTGAGTAGGAAACACAATCTAGATCATTCAGGAATGACAAGAATTCAACTACTTGGGGCATCACATTGCCTCCGTGGTACACATTAGCCGGAATCTTCCAAAATTTTACTAGTGTGATTTTTATAATTGGAAACAATGCTATGATGTTGATGCAATTTTTGGTGCAAAGGAATGTTTAAGTTCTGTTTAAGGTTTCAACATGCTGCTAAATGGCTATGGTATGATCTATGAAAACAAACACTTACGCAAGAATTAAGACACATTAGCACTATACTATCTTCTCACTCCCCAGTGAGTAATCTATGACAGGCATGCTAGAGCCTGGCTCCCTGACTGGAAACTGAACGCAACCTGTTCAATGAAACAAACCAACAAAATTTGCACAGAAAGCACACGGTCCATCACATGATGACCACAGTCACAAAGAAGACTCAATTAGTTATGTGTGTTATGCACTCATGTTTCTAGGTAATTATGAACTCTTGCAGGATAAGACCCCAACACTGACATTTTCAATTTAATCCTTAAAATATCTGGTGTTCAGGGCCCAGCATGGTAGCCTAATGGTTGAAGTCCTCCCTCATCTTGCATGTGCCGGGATCCCATATGAGCACCAGATCATATTCTGGCTGCTCCACTTTCACTAATATCCCACTTCCCATCCAGCTCCCTGCTTGTGGCCTGGGAAAGCATAGGAGGACGGACCAAAGCCTTGAGACTCTGCACCCACATGGGAGATCTGAAAAAAAGCTCCTGGCTCCTGGCTTTGGATTGGCTCAGCCCAAGTCGTTGATGCCACTTGGGGAGTGAACCAGCAGATGGAAGATCTTTCTCTCTGTCTCTCCTCCTCTCTGTAAATCTGCTTTTTTAATAAAAATACATAAATCTTTAAAAAAAAAAACCACATATCTGGTGTTCAGCAAGTTTTTCCTCTATTGAAGCTCACAGGTAAAGAATCACTCACAGGCAAAATAGTCACAAATCTACTCAGTGGCAGAACAGAAACTCAAATACAGTCCCTTCCAACTTTTTTCACTGTCCTATAAAAAAGGCAAAATTATTCTATACTTTGTATTTCCATCCAGAAACATTGGAAATATCAAAGGTAAATAATAGGTAAGTATTAGACTTTGAGAAATGATTCATTTAGAAATAATCTGAACAATCTTATTTTTGAAATTAGATAAGTCATCTGAGTCAAACAGAACTGAAATTCCCAATATTCACCCTCACCTTTTTAATTCCCACAGTGTATCTTTCAGTGTATATTGAAAATAACTGTTGAGGAAAGGGAGAACTCTAGGCATGATTTCCCAAAAATGTCAAGTAATGTTTTCACATTGCTTTTTTCAAATCAGGGAGAAGAAAATATAAGGAGAAAGCAAGAAGGGAATAGGGAGAAATGACTTGGCATACTTAAAATTCAGTTGATCCTAAAATAATCACTAGGCTCATTATGAATTTAGCACATGTGTTCACAGAGCAGAGGTGTCATTTGCAACCATCTGCCCAGGGCTCAAGTTCCAATGCAAATGCCACTAATGATATAAGCATTTTAAGGAACAGAGGGCAGGGGTCAGCTCCGTGGCTCAGTGGGTTGGATTGCTACTGTTGACACTGACATCCCACATCAACATGCCAGTCTGAGTCTGGGCTGCTACATTTCCAACCCAGCATTCCTGGTAATGCACCCAGGAAGGCAGACGGAGATGACCAGATTGCTTGGGCCCCTGCACTTGGGCTGGACTCCTGACCCCTGCCTTTGACCTGCTGCAATTGAGGCTGCCTGGGGGAAAGAATAGAGCTTTCTGTCTCTTCCTTTCTCTGTGTTGCTCTGCCTTTCAAATAGCTAAATAAATCTTTTTTTTTTTAATGGAGAATAGAGATTAATTTTAATATTTTCTGCCAAAACATTACAAACTTTTAGTCCTGAATCAATATTCCCCAATCGCAAATCAATAAGGACATTACAAACAAAAC